CCCCGTAGCCCCAGCCCCAGGACGGTCAAAACGTCTCGCTCAAAAGTTTCGCTCGAAACGTTTCGCAGCCCCCAACAAATTTGAAAGACCAGCCCCAGCCTCCAGCCTCAGCCCCCGCCCCAGCCCCAAGACGGTCAAAACGTCCCGCTCCAAAGTTTCGTTCAAAACATTTCGCAGCCCCCAAGAAATTGGGAAACATGGTTCGCAAAAAAAAACTTTCGGTCAAAACGTTTCGTTCAAAACGTTTCGTTCAAAACTTTCGGTCAAAAAGTTTTTGGGACCCAAACCCTTAACAATTTCTCTAAACCCTAAACCCTAAACCCTAAACCCTAAACCCTAAACCCTAAACCCTAAACCCTAAACCCTCAAGAGCAGGATAAATAGAAAGTGTGTGATTTTTGTATCGAACTGCATTTGCATTAGTTTCAAACTTTCATTAAACGTGTCCAAGCAAATTCCAGCCCAAGCCTCCCAGGCCCAGCCCCAAGCCCAGCCCCCACCAGCTAACTCGGCCCCCAGCCCGCCATTCCCAAAATGAAAACTTCAAATCAAAAGCCAAAACCCGCCCAAAACTTCCGCGCAAAACTTTCGCCCAAAACTTCCAGTTCAGCTACCAGCCCAACCCAGCTTACCACCCCAACCCAGCCTAGCCCAGCCAGTCAAGCCAGCCAAAAAGCGAAGCAAAAACAAAACCGCCCCCCAAATATCGAACTGCATTTGCATTAGTTTCAAACTTTCATTAAACGCGTCCCGAACTGCATTTGCATTAGTTTCAAACTTTCATTAAACGCGTCCACGCAAAGTCCAGCCCAAGCCTCCCAGGCCCAGCCCCCACCAGCTAGCTCGGCCCCCAGCCCGCCACTCCCAAAATGAAAACTTCAAATCAAAAACCAAAACCCGCCCAAAACTTCCGCGCAAAACTTTCGCCCAAAACTTCCAGTTCAGCTACCAGCCCAACCCAGCCTACCAGCCCAACCCAGCCTAGCCTTCTCAGGCCTCCCCACCCCAGACACCCCAGCCAGCCCTGCTTCACTCCCAGTCCAGCCCAACCCAGCCCCAAACGCTCAAGCCTCCCCAACCCCCAGCCCTCAGCCCCCCCAGCCCCCCCAGCCCCCCCAGCCTCCCCAGCCTCCCCAGCCTCCAGCCAGCCCAGCCAAGTCCCAAAATCAAAAAGCAAAAGCAAAAGGCAAAACCCCCCAAAACCCGGCAAAACCCGGCAAACCCCGGCAAAACCCGGCAAAACCCGGCAAAACTCCGGACCCAAACCCTATACAATTTCTATAAACCCTAAACCCTAAACCCTAAACCCTAAACCCTAAACCCTAAACCCTAAACCCTAAACCCTAAACCCTAAACCCTAAACCCTAAACCCTCAAGAAAGTGATAAATAGAAATTGCTTGTCCTTGTTTGTAACCACCGCTAAGGCCCAGCATTTCGGATAAAACTGGCGTTAGCTTCTTGATAATCAAATTTCGCACAACCACAACTTCAACCATTAACTCAGCCCAACCAACTCAAAACAGCCACCCGATCAAAAACGGAACAAGCTTCTTGATAAACCAATTTCTCCATACCCTCCAACCCAGGCCCACTTTCCAATCCCCCAAATCCAGGTCCAAGCACCAGGCCCTCCAAGCCCAGGCCCCAGACCCCAGGCTCCCAGGCCCACCCCAAATCCAAGCTTCGAAATCCAGCCCCAAGCCCAGTCCCAAATCCAGGCTCTAGACCCCAAATCCAGGCCCACCCCAAATCCAGGCCCAATCCCAAATCCAGGCCCAGGCCCCAAATCCAGGCCCCAGCCCCAGGCTCCAGACCCCCAAATCCAAGCCCCCAAATCCAGGGTTCAGACCCCAAATCCAAGCTCCAGTCACAATTCCAGGCCATGCCCCAACTCCAGGCCCCATGCCCAAATCCAGGCTCCAGACCCCAAATCCAGTCCCAAATCCAAAATCCAGGCTCCAGACCCCAAATCCAAGCTCAGTCCCAAGTCCAGGCACCAGGCCCCAAATCCAGCCCCCAAATTGACCAGGCCCCAGGCCCCAAATCCAGGTTCAAATCCAGGCCACGAAAGGCCAGGAGCAGGCCACGAAAGGCCAGGAGCAGGCCACGAAAGGCCAGGAGCAGGCCACGAAAGGCCAGGAGCAGGCCACGAAAGGCCAGGAGCAGGCCACGAAAAGCCAGGAGCAGGCCACGAAAGGCCAGGAGCAGGCCACGAAAGGCCAAGAGCAGGCCACGAAAGGCCAGGAGCAGGCCACGAAAGGCCAGGAGCAGGCCACGAAAGGCCAGGACCAGGCCACGAAGGCCACGAAAGGCCAGGAGCAGGCCACGAAAGGCCAGGAGCAGGCCACGAAAGGCCAGGAGCAGGCCACGAAAGGCCAGGAGCAGGCCACGAAAGGTCAGGAGCAGGCCACGAAAGGCCAGAAGCAGGCCACGAAAGGCCAGGAGCAGGCCACGAAAGGCCAGGGAAAGACCAGGCCACAAAGGCCAGGAGCAGGCCACGAAAGGCCAGAAGCAGGCCACGAAAGGCCAGGAGCAGGCCACGAAAGGCCAGGAGCAGGCCACGAAAGGCCAGGAGCAGGCCGCGAAAGGCCAGGAGCAGGCCACGAAAGGCCAGGAGCAGGCCACGAAAGGCCAGGAGCAGGCCACGAAAGGCCAGGAGCAGGCCACGAAAGACCAGGAGCAGGCCACGAAAGACCAGGAGCAGGCCACGAAAGGCCAGGAGCAGGCCACGAAAGGCCAGGAGCAGGCCACGAAAGGCCAAGAGCAGGCCACGAAAGGTCAAGAGCAGGCCACGAAAGGCCAGGAGCAGGCCACGAAAGGCCAGGAGCAGGCCACGAAAGGCCAGGAGCAGGCCACGAAAGGCTAGGAGCAGGCCACGAAAAGCTAGGAGCAGGCCACGAAAGGCCAGGAGCAGGCCACGAAAGGCCAGGAGCAAGCCACGAAAGGCCAGGAGCAGGCCACGAAAGGCCAGGAGCAGGCCACGAAAGGCCAGGAGCAGGCCACGAAAGGCCAGGAGCAGGCCACACGAAAGGCCAGGCGCAGGCCACGAAAGGCCAGGAGCAGGCCACGAAAGGCCAGGAGCAGGCCACGAAAGGCCAGGAGCAGGCCACGAAAGGCCAGGAGCAGGCCACGAAAGGCCAGGAGCAGGCCACGAAAGGCCAGGAGCAGGCCACGAAAGGCCAGGAGCAGGCCACGAAAGGGCAGGAGCAGGCCACGAAAGGCCAGGAGCAGGCCACGAAAGGCCAGGAGCAGGCCACGAAAGGCCAGGAGCAGGCCACGAAAGGCCAGGAGCAGGCCACGAAAGGCCAGGAGCAGGCCACACGAAAGGCCAGGAGCAGGCCACGAAAGGCCAGGAGCAGGCCACGAAAGGAGCAGGCCACGAAAGGCCAGGAGCAGGCCACGAAAGGCCAGGAGCAGGCCACGAAAGGCCAGGAGCAGGCCACGAAAGGCCAGGAGCAGGCCACGAAAGGCCAGGAGCAGGCCACGAAAGGCCAGGAGCAGGCCACGAAAGGCCAGGAGCAGGCCACGAAAGGCCAGGAGCAGGCCACGAAAGGCCAGGAGCAGGCCACGAAAGGCAGGAGCAGGCCACGAAAGGCCAGGAGCAGGCCACGAAAGGCCAGGAGCAGGCCACGAAAGGCCAGGAGCAGGCCACGAAAGGCCAGGAGCAGGCCACGAAAGGCCAGGAGCAGGCCACGAAAGGCCAGGAGCAGGGCACGAAAGGCCAGGAGCAGGCCACGAAAGGCCAGGAGCAGGCCACGAAAGGCCAGGAGCAGCCCCCCCCCGCGTAGCCCCAACCTCAGGGCAGTCAAAACGTCTCGCACAAAGGTTTCGTTCGAAACGTTTCGCAGTATTCGCGTTCGATGTTGACACCGAGTACATACGTTGCCGCGTGAACTTGTTTATGCGACTTGAAAGTCACAATGATGCTACTGGTATCTGCAACTTTTGCACTGAATCAATTTCGTGGCCGCCCCCCCCCCCCCGTAGCCCCAGCCCCAGGACGGTCAAAACGTCTCGCTCAAAAGTTTCGCTCGAAACGTTTCGCAGCCCCCAACAAATTTGAAAGACCAGCCCCAGCCTCCAGCCTCAGCCCCCGCCCCAGCCCCAAGACGGTCAAAACGTCTCGCTCCAAAGTTTCGTTCAAAACATTTCGCAGCCCCCAAGAAATTGGGAAACATGGTTCGCAAAAAAAAACTTTCGGTCAAAACGTTTCGTTCAAAACGTTTCGTTCAAAACTTTCGGTCAAAAAGTTTTTGGGACCCAAACCCTTAACAATTTCTCTAAACCCTAAACCCTAAACCCTAAACCCTAAACCCTAAACCCTAAACCCTAAACCCTAAACCCTAAACCCTAAACCCTAAACCCTTAAACCCTAAACCCTAAACCCTCAAGAGCAGGATAAATAGAAATTGTGTGATTTTCGTTTCGATCTGCAGTTGCAATAGTTTCAAATTTTCGCTAAACGTGTCCAACCAAATCCAGCCCAAGCCAGCCACAGCAGCCCAGCCCAGCAGCCGACCCGCCCAGCCCATCCAGCCCCCCAGCCCAGCCCTAGCCCCCACCAGCCAGCTCGGCCCAAAATGAAAACTTCAAGTCAAAAAACAAAACCCGCCCAAAACCTTCGCTCAAAACTTTCGTCTAAAACTTCGGACCCAAACCCTATACAATTTCAACCCCCTAGCCCTTTCAAGTCAAAAAACAAAACCCTCCCAAAACTTTCGCTCAAAACTTTCGCCCAAAACTTTCGGTCAAAACCGGAATGCGCGAAATCACAAATCAAAAACCAAAACTTTCGCCCAAAACGTTTCGCTCAAAACTTTCGGTCGAAACCCCGGACCCAACCCCGGCTGGATTTCACCTGCGAGCCGCATGACGCAGGCAAGCTGAACCAAATCCCGCCACCCTCTTTGCCTTCAGATTTTAGACCCAACCGTCTCAGCCCCTACGCACCAGGGCCCAGCCCAGCAGCCCAGCTGTCAGGCGCTCATCCTCAAGCAGAATGCGGGCAAGCCACGAAAGAGAGGCGCAGCCGCCACGCTTATCCTCAAGCAGAAGAGGGGCCAGGGAGTACAGCCGCCACGCTTATCCGGTGCCAGGCAAAGAGGTGCAGCCGCCACGCTTATCCTCAACCAGAATGGGGGCCAGGGGGAAGAGGCGCAGCCGCCACGCTTATCCAGAATAGGGGCCAGGGGGTACAGCCGCCACGCTTATCCGGTGCCAGGCGACCAGAATGGGGGCCAGGGGGAAGAGGCGCAGCCGCCACGCTTATCCTCAACCAGCATAGGGCTTATCCGGTGCCAGGCGAAGAGGTGCAGCCGCCACGCTTACCTCAACTAGAATGGGGGCATCCTCAACCAGAAGAGGGGTCAGGGGGTACAGCGGCCACGCTTATCCAGTGCCAGGCGAAGAGGTGCAGCCGCCACGCTTATCCTCAACCAGAATGACGCTTATCCGGTGCCAGGCAAGAGGTGCAGCCGCCACGCTCATCCTCAACCAGAATGGGGGCCAGGGGGAAGAGGCACAGCCGCCACGCTTATCCTCAACCAGAATAGGGGGCAGGGGGTACAGCCGCCACGCTTATCCGGTGCCAGGCGAAGAGGTGCAGCCGCCACGCTTATCCTCAATCAGAATAGGGGCTAGGGGGTACAGCCGCCACGCTTATCCGGCCAGGCGAAGAGGTGCAGCCGCCACGCTTATCCTCAACCAGAATGGGGGCCAGGGGGTACAGCCGCCACGCTTATCCGGTGCCAGGCGAAGAGGTGCAGCCGCCACGCTTATCCTCAACCAGAATGACGCTTATCCGGTGCCAGGCGAAGAGGTGCAGCCGCCACGCTTATCCTCAACCAGAATGGGGGCCAGGGGCAAAAGGCGCAGCCGCCACGCTTATCCTCAACCAGAATTGGGGTGCGGGGGGTACAGCCGCCACGCTTATCCGGTGCCAGGCGAAGAGGTGCAGCCGCCACGCTTATCCTCAACCAGAATGGGGGCCAGGGGGAAGAGGCGCAGCCGCCGCGCTTATCCTCAACCAGAATAGGGGCCGGGGGAACAGGCGCAGCCGCCACGCTTATCCTCAACCAGAATAGGGGCCAGGGGGTACAGCCGCCACGCTTATCCGGTGCCAGGCGAAGAGGTGCAGCCGCCACGCTTATCCTCAACCAGAATGACGCTTATCCGGTGCCAGGCGAAGAGGTGCAGCCGCCACGCTTATCCTCAACCAGAATGGGGGCCAGGGGGAAGAGGCGCAGCCGCCACGCTTATCCTCAACCAGAATAGGGGCCAGGGGGTACAGCCGCCACGCTTATCCGGTGCCAGGTGAAGAGGTGCAGCCGCCACGCTTATCCTCAACCAGAATGGGGGCCAGGGGGAAGAGGCGCAGCCGCCACGCTTATCCTCAACCAGAATACACGCTTATCCGGTGCCAGGCGAAGAGGTGCAGCCGCCACGCTTATCCTCAACCAGAAGGGGGGCCAGGGGGAAGAGGCGCAGCCGCCACGCTTATCCTCAACCAGAATACATGCTTATCCGGTGCCAGGCGAAGAGGTGCAGCCGCCACGCTTAGCCTCAACCAGATAGAGGCGCAGCCGCCACGCTTATCCTCAACCAGAATAGGGGCCAGGGTGTACAGCTGCCACGCTTATCCGGCGCCAGGCGAAGAGGTGCAGCCGCCACGTTTATCCTCAACCAGAATGGGGGCCAGGGGGAAGAGGCGCAGCCGCCACGCTTATCCTCGACCAGAATAGCAGCCGCCACGCTTATCCGGTGCCAGGCGAAGAGGTGCAGCCGCCACGCTTATCCTCAACCAGAAGGGGGGCCAGGGGGAAGAGGCGCAGCCGCCACGCTTATCCTCAACCAGAATAGGGGTCAGGGGGTACAGCCGCCAAGCTTATCCGGTGCCAGGCGAAGAGGTGCAGCCGCCACGCTTATCCTCAACCAGAATAGGGGCCAGGGGGTACAGCCGCCACGCTTATTATCCGGTGCCAGGCGAAGAGGTGCAGCCGCCACGCTTATCCTCAACCAGAATAGGGGCCAGGGGGTACAGCCGCCACACTTATCCGGTGCCAGGCGAAGAGGTGCAGCCGCCACGCTTATCCTCAACCAGAATGGGGGCCAGGGGCAAAAGGCGCAGCCGCCACGCTTATCCTCAACCAGAATAGGGGCCAGGGGGTACAGCCGCCACGCTTATCCGGTGCCAGGGGTGCATCAACCAGAATGGGGGCCAGGGGGAAGAGGCGCAGCCGCCGCGCTTATCCTCAACCAGAATAGGGGCCAGGGGGAAGAGGCGCAGCCGCCACGCTTATCCTCAACCAGAATAGGGGCCAGGGGGTACAGCCGCCACGCTTATCCGGTGCCAGGCGAAGTGCCAGGCGAAGAGGTGCAGCCGCCACGCTTATCCGGGGTTGGGTTCCCCCCAACCCCCACCCCACTCCCGCCCCCCCGGGCCCCCTCCCCCCACCCCCCACCCTCCTACCCGCCGCCCCCCTACCTTCCCCCCTTCAACCTGTCAGGCGCTCATCCTCAAGCAGAATGCGGAAGCCACAACAAGAGGCGCAGCCGCCACGCTTATCCTCAACCAGAATAGGGGCCAGGGGGCAACCAGAATGACGCTTATCCGGTGCCAGGCGAAGAGGTGCAGCCGCCACGCTTATCCTCAACCAGAATGGGGGCCAGGGGGAAGAGGCGCAGCCGCCACGCTTATCCTCAACCAGAATAGGGGCCAGGGGGTACAGCCGCACGCTTATCCGGTGCCAGGCGAATCCTCAACCAGAATGGGGGCCAGGGGGAAGAGGCGCAGCCGCCACGCTTATCCTCAACCAGAATAGGGGCCCAGGGGGTACAGCCGCCACGCTTATTCGGTGCCAGGCGAAGAGGTGCAGCCGCCACGCTTGTCCTCAACCAGAATGGGGGCCAGGGGGAAGAGGCGCAGCCGCCACGCTTATCCTCAACCAGAATAGGGGCCAGGGGGTACAGCCGCCACGCTTATCCGGTGCCAGGCGAAGAGGTGCAGCCGCCACGCTTATCCTCAACCAGAAGGGGGGCTAGGGGGAAGAGGCGCAGCGCAGCCGCCACGCTTATCCTCAACTAGAATAGGGGCCAGGGCGTGCAGCCGCCACGCTTATCCGGTGCCAGGCGAAGAGGTGCAGCCGCCACGCTTATCCTCAACCAGAATGGGGGTCAGGGGGAAGAGGCGCAGCCGCCACGCTTATACTCAACCAGAATAGCAGCCGCCACGCTTATCCGGTGCCAGGCGAAGACAGCCGCCACGCTTATCCTCAACCAGAATGGGGGCCAGGGGGAAGAGGCGCAGCCGCCACGCTTATCCTCAACCAGAATAGGGGCCAGGGGGTACAGCCGCCACGCTTATCCGGTGCCAGGCGAAGAGGTGCAGCCGCCACGCTTATCCTCAACCAGAATGGGGGACAGGGGGAAAAGGCGCAGCCGCCACGCTTATCCTCAACCAGAATAGGGGCCAGGGGGTACAGCCGCCACGCTTATCCGGTGCCAGGCGAAGAGGTGCAGCCGCCACGCTTATCCTCAACCAGAATGGGGGCCAGGGGGAAGAGGCGCAGCCGCCACGCTTATCCTCAACCAGAATGCATGGGGGCCAGGGGGTACAGCCGCCACGCCTATCCGGTGCCAGGCGAAGAGGTGCAGCCGCCACGCTTATCCTCAAGCAGAATTGTGCGGAGGCGGGGACAAGGCCGGAGCGCTTATCCTCAACCAATATGGGGTTCCAGGTGCGTGGTCTCAGCCCGAAGAACACGGAGGCGGGGACAAGCAACCAATATGGGGTCCCCGGTGCGTGGTGTCAACCTGAAGAAGACGGAGGCGGGGACAAGGCCGGAGCGCTTATCCTCAACCAACATGGGGTCCCAGGTGCGTGGTCTCAACCTGAAGAAGACGGAGGCGCATGCAGAAGTGGTTGCTTATCCTCAACCAATATGGTCTCCCAGGTGCTTATACTCAACCTGAAAGAAGACGAAGGCAAGGGACAAGGCCGGAGGGCTCGCATGGAGAGGTGGTGCGCTTATCCTCAACCAATATGGGGCACCAGGTGCTTATCTTCAACCTGAAGAAAGACAGAGACGGGACGAGGCCGGAGGGCTCGCATGCAGAAGTGGCTCGCTTATCCTCAACCAAAAGGGGGTACCAGGTGCCTGCTCATGCTCTAATGACACTCCCCCATTAAGTAAATTCTGCAACAGTGCACACTGTGTGCAAGTGCTCGGTATGCATGACAAGCCGAGTTAGTTCCGCTCGCGTGGGCTCAATGTGAAGAGTCGTAGTCCTGCTCTATGTCCGAGCTTCGGCCTATAGGTAGGCGCTTACGGCTGGAATCTCAGTCGTCACAACAGCGAGTGCCTAAGATCATGCCCACAGCCCTTGTTTCTGAGATCGACCGGCGCAACAGAGATGTCCGAGAACATGGGCGAGGGTTCCAGAAGCTCAGACCACTCGATTCGGGGCTCCGACCTGGAGGACTGCGAGGACCCTTTCGATTGTTGGGACTGGGTCGACGCAGAAATGCAGCACGACGCCGAGGAAGATGCACGTGGAGGAACAAGATGGAACAAAGAGATGGAGATGCAGAGGGAGTTCAGCGAGCGTCTTGCTGACCTGACGGTGAGGTACCTGAACATGCAGGGTGCCGAGATCCATTCCTCGAAGCCTTATCGCCTGCTCTGCCAACTCGAACCGCCCGGATCTTTCCGGGAAGCTTGGCTCGCCCAGCTGCACGAGGGCAACAACCCCGATCGCTGCCGATCCCTGCAAGAACTACGTGTCAAATTTCAGAAGACCATGAAGCCCATCCCGCCGGAAACGCTGCAGCATCGCAGCACCAGAGAGGTCTTGCTGTTGGACTTGGACAGCAGTCCTGCAGGACCCATTCCCATCGAAGGCACGCAACTGGTTTTGGACGGAGACGTGATCAGCGACGCTTGGAGCTGGCGCGAACTCCTGGACCGCAGCTTCCACGACGAGGTCGTGGACGTGCAAGTTGTCTACATGTCAAAGCAAGCCACAGACCGCTAGAGCTCCAAACGCGAGCAGCAACAAACGCAAAAAGGAGCGAGCGCTGCAGCAAGGGATACGGCAGTCTGGACACGGCCGGTTTGAGCTGTCGTTGCATCTCAGTCCTGCATCGGTCAATGACATGGCTTGTAGACTCAATAGACGGTGATCCAGTCTGGAATCACCTGTTCCTGAAAAGATTTTGTGCTGTTCTTCGTTTGATTAATTTGCTCGCTGATGGAACATGCTTGAGATTTGATCGCAGCCGTGCGGATACAGCCTTAGCTGAGCTTAGGAACCGCCTTATCGCAATTCGTTAGGATGGCGCCTTGCCCACGGTGTGGCTGGCCAATGCAAGGCCGAGGAAAAGGATGGTGCAGCAATCGACAGTGCCGCGAAGCTCAGAAAGAGGAGAACCTCCGCCGGAAGAGCGAGGAGAAGAGTGCTCAACAGCAGAAACGTGCTGCGCAAGGAGCGGGCAGCCGTGGACCTGTGCCTGTTGCAAACAGCACTCGGGCCCAGAGGCAACAACTTCAAGCTGACCGCGCAGAAGAAGGACTTGGCAGCCGCGGGCCTTTGCCCACGGAGAAAAGCAGACAGGCGCAGGGACAACAACTTCAAGCTCAACGTGCAGAAGA